GCCCAAGGGTCAAGTGGGTAAAATAAGTGAGTACAATGGGCTGGGGATACTAGAGAGTGCTGGGGACTGTGGCAAACTACAGAGGCAGGTCCTGCCCAAAGGGAGAGCAGTGACAGCTCCACTGAAGTGTGGCCATGTGGGAATGCAGCTCTATGGTTGCCCGACCTTCTGACATTTTAAGAAATGCAAGAAATCTGGACTTTTCAAAATGTATAACTTCCCATTTTTCAAAACATTTGGGCCAAACAAGATACATCTGTGAGCTACTTTTGGCCTGTGGCTGCTATTTGCAACCCCTTCCCAGAGGCCAGAGTTGCAGAATTGGAATGGATAGGTTTCAGCAGCACAAGAATATCTTGAGGTTCAATCTGCTAAACCAAAGGGTTGACCCATTCACCTCCATGAAATGTCATTTCTTCTCTCTAGCCTGCCCTTTGCAGCTCCTCCTCTCAGTAGAGAAAGATATCACTTTCTACCCTAACCCAAGAATAAAGCCACTAGTCAGTGCCAGTGAAGGTGCAAGGGACCCTACAGTCCACTCAGTCACCATTTGTGTCGTCTGCTGAAGGAGAGAGCAGAGGCAGGCCTGGGGTCCCCAGGTGGCTTGAGGAGACATGCTATGGGCAATTGTACTGGCAGAATCCTTCAGGAGGGTAAGATTTTTCAGGGCACGTGGGCATCTTGCCAAGAAGTAAGTGGAAACAATGCCAAAACCACTGGTCACTTGATTTGATTCTGCCCAGATGATTATTGTAATTGGATGGCAGACTGATATTTCCTTCTCCTTTTCAACTGGTGGGGTGGGGGGGTAAATGGATCTGGCTCATGATACACTCTTCTGGGCAGTTACCTAATGGGGAAGATCATCTCCTTTCACAGGCGCAACTGGTCTTGCCTTCTGGCTACATAAGAGTCAAAGCAGGTCCAGCTGAAGACTAATGCCAGGAAATCTCAGAACTTCCTTGCATTTCATACTGCATGGTCTGCAAAGGCCTCTGAAATGTTCCCTGCTCTAATACTCAGGAGAGATCATAGTTGAAGAATAAAACAGAACAGAAGCAGTTGCAAGAGAGGAAAAGGGAGGAAAGAAAGGACAGATAATATGCAATGACAGGACTTCTTACTGGGGGAGCTTGTAGCAAATAACTGGGATGAAGCTACCACACTGAAGTTCTTTAAAATGTGTTAGGCTGTAGATTCAGAATTTTGTAATGCTGTAGATGGAGCCCTCTTCTGGAGGAATTTTTCAGCAGGTATTTTAACAAGATCAAAACACACAGAGATGGACACACACGCACAGAGAAATACTATACTGCTGGCTTTGGGGATGATAAGACTGTCATTCATATGTTAACTGACCATAGTTTGTCCTTGTCTTTGCCTTTCACTAAATAGAAATTAACTAAATTCCCCCAAGCAACTGTCTTTTTGGAAGGAGGGAAAGGAAGAAGGATATTTTCAAGAACCTGACTGTATTTTTACCACATCCAAAAGCTGGTACTTTTTAGGTAATGCCATTATTGGGTACATTGGTTTTGGGCAATATCGCTGTAACACACAGAGGACACTTCTAGAAGGAAATAGATTTCATTTAAAGGAAAACCCAAAGGCTAAAGATAGAAAAGGAGAGGGAGACAGAGCAGGAGAGATTAGCTAGGATGACTGTTGGGGCTTTTAATATAGACTGTGGTATTACATAAATTTCAGATCACATATTCAGCCTTGCAGTTCATTAAATCTCTTTGGAGACGTCCTAAAAACAGCATTCAGACACGTGGACTCTACTTCTTTGACTCCTTTCAACCCTTATATCTGTTTCCCCAGCGCTTTTGAAATCTTACAGGCTGTCACGTGTTCTCTGCAACGGGTAAGACTTTTCTCCTCATTGAGAGTGTTCTGCAAATAAACACTGTCCTCGAAATATAATCTACAGAGTTGCAAAGTCACTAGAAGATGTTGATTCTTATTTAAAATCGTGAAAATCAAGATTCCAACTCCAAAAAGGTACTCCCCGTATTAAATCAACATCTCAGATTCGGTGGAACATTTCTGGTCCCTCCGGAGTGACTGTTCTCCAAACCTTAACCACTCCCCAAAATCCTAATTCTTGGGGGATTACTCATTCATTGTCAGAACTTTGAGCTAGTCATAAGTGAGACCCAAACTGGGGGGGGGGGGGGGGGGGGGGGGGCGGGGAGCGGAATCATATTTACAGTGGAATTTCTAGCTCATGCCTCTCTTGATTTGTTTCACATTCATTATTTATCATAGCCAAATTCCAGCAGCCACTTCTGGGATGGCCTTTCTCAAAACACCCCAGAGGAGAAGAGAGGTGACTATTCCTCAACTCTGCCAGCTTCCAGCCATTGCTGCTTAGAATTCCTCTCCCCCCACCACCACCCCTTCCAAATGCCTAAAATAGCAACCTAGCCAATAAACTTAGAGATTGATGGTCTCCAAAGCTGGACTTGGTGTATTACAACTGTGGTGGAAAAACACACACATGCTTGCCTGAACACCACTAGGGCTGAGTGACTGATTTGCTTTATTACATTGTTTTTCCCTTTCTTCTGTTTTTTTGTCTGCCCCAGGAAAGTTTTGTTTTTGCTCATTGACTCAAAGGCTCCAAGACTTCCACCACTTTTCACAGCGACACACAGAGCTCTGCGCTTAAACCTCTTGACAGTTAACTGAATTGCACCCAGATGATTTCTCTGCAAGATGCTATTCCTACCAGGGTATCAATTACTGTCCTTATGTGGACATGTGCTCTGATTATGCACAACAATCTCAAAGAGAAATAAGCGTCTCGGGGCAGACAATTCAATTCATCGTAAAATCTGTGCTACCCCAGTCTAAGAAAACTGATTGAGCTGAGAGCCCGCAGACCCCACCTGTGCCAGCTGGGCCGTGGGTGAGGAGACACACCAGTTGCTTTGCAAAAGGCATCATGTGAGAAGCCCCGAGGGCATAGGGACTGCTCAGGGCTGTCATGTGCTCTCTCTTGGTCATAGAGAGGCATAACTTTGGGCAAGCCCTGGAATCTGAACTGAGGTCAAAACATGCCCCACAGAGAAAAGGACTGTAAAGTCCTAAGTAAGGTGTGGTAAGTGCCTCTAGACACTGACACCTCCCAGTGTGCCAGGCCTCGTGCTAAATGCAGTACCTACGATATCCTGTTGAATGCAATCCAATCTGCCTAGCAATTCTAGGAAGACGATAAGACTTTTTTTTTTATGTGGAGAATCTGGAAGCTCAGAGATGTTAAGCAACTTGCCCAGGGTGGTATCAGTAGCATATGGAAGGGAGAATCAGTTTGAACCAGAGGCATGGTCTGAACCACTCTGCCAAACTGGGATAGTTGTTAGAGTCCAGAAAGTCTGGAAAACCACTTCACAGACAGGTATAGAATTTGTGGCAGGACTTCAGGCTACAGGTACCCCAAGAGTATCAGTCAGCAAAGCCCTGGTAGACGAGGGGTAAACGGGAGAATCCAGAATGGGCGCTGTGTGTCCAGGGAAGAAGGAAGTTAGGAGTGGGGAGGGGGCTGTCTGAGAGCAGCAGCCAGGCACCTTAGTCCGCTCCCAGCACCGTCATCTACCCCTCGCCCTCCACACTGACTCATCTCCGTGGTCACAGTGCTCCTGGGACACCGGCCCATTTGCAAAGTCTAACCCCAACATCGATCTGGTAGTGGTGACCCCTTAACAGGCTGCACTGCCTCTTAGCATCTGAACCAGCCTGTCTGGGACCCTGCCTCTCACACACTCACACACGTGCCTCTTCCCCTGGCACCGAGGAGTCCTGGCCAGGAACTCAACACCCACATCTACCACCACAAGGCACTCCCTATCTCCTTCCCTCCTTTGCTCGGCCCTGCCTTGATTTTACCCACCCATTTGTAGGCTGCCAGTTCATCCCCAGTCCCATAGGCGTCCAGGGAGCCCTCGGGTGGGGGACTGGGTCACGGTTCACGCCCTGAGCAACACAGGCCCCTGAGCAGCGCTGGGCGTGCCTCTGCTCTGGCCTCCTTGGAGTCCTGATTTCCTGCACACAACTTCCTGAGATCTCGGAGCAGCAGAGGTGATTGCCGGAGACTCACGTCTCCATCGCACCCCTCTCCCAGGTCGCCGGGCCCTTCCCTAGCGCCGCAGCGCTCCGAGGGTTAACAGGCAGCTGCAGCCCGGGTGGGCAACGCTTGAACTTTTCTCTGCGCTCCGCGCCCGCCTGGGAAGGCAGCAGAGGCGGCAGTTGGGGCTCAGGGCCGGAGTTCCAGCTGGCTGGACAAAGGGGGCGCGGGGGACTGGGGTCTGGGGACTGGGGCCTGCGCCCTGGCCGGGGGACGCGCTCCGGAGGTCGGGGAAGGAGAGGACCCCGCCGCGGGCGCCGCGGGAGCGGGCACCTTTGAGCGACAGCAGCAGCCGGGCCGCGGCGCCCTGCCGGCCCCAGGCGCCTTTCAGCGAGCCGGCGGGGCTGGGCGAGGGGGCCCGGGCGCCCCGGGAAGTCGGCGCTGCCAGGCCGGCCTCTGCAGCCCGCTCGCCCGCAATCCGGTCCCGAACTGCGCCTGCCTCTCTCGGCGGGGGAAGCCACGACTCCCGGGAGTCGCCGCCAGCGGAGTCTTTCTCCAATGCGTGAGCCTCCGAAGGAGGTGAATCAAAGTTACCCCACTTGCTGTAGGCGAGAATGCCGCCCCTGCTTGCGAAAAGGGGGCTCGGGAACGCTCTCTTCCTCCCGCGAACGTACAAACACACGCACACACACACACACACACGCACACACACACACACACGCACACTCCCGGGAGGCAAGCCGGAGTGGGGAACGAGGGCCCCCCTAGGATCTCCAGGGCTGAGAATGACCTCCCTTCCGAGCCCTGGGCTCTCTCCGCCGCCGGTTCCGGAGAGCCCCAGTTCCCCGAAAGCCCCCTCGCCCTGCGCGAGGCAGGCGATCAGAATGCAGAAACCGGGCGCGGGGCGTGCCCGGCAACCCCTCTTCCCTACCTGGGACAGGAGAACGCACAGGAGGAGCGCAGTTCTCGGCTGCATTTTGCCCGACTAGACGCGCCCGGCGGCGTTTTCATTCATGCACTTGGCTGCACTGAGCATATTTTCCGTGGGAGCCAGGCTTTGAGGAGAGGCTCTGCCTCGCCAGCCAGCCAACTTCCCAAATAGATCAACGGCAGCATCACGAAGGCATTGGGTAGAGGCTGATGACCAGGACCAATGGCTTTACAAGACGGATTCCTTCATAAAGCTCCCTCGCTTGGCATGGCAGATATGGGGCGAGCACCTCACGCAGAGCGAGCCCCTCGGAGGAGGCACCGTTTGCTTTTTGGGGGCTGTTGGAGCCCAGCCTCGCAAATCACGCCGGCCAACGCCAGCCCATTCCACTTTCCCAGAGAAGGAAATTGCACGAGGGACTGGAGGACACTTCCAGCCCAGTGCAAAAAGATTCTCTTTATTAAAATGTTAATAAGATCCACTTTATTTCCAATAAATCAAACAAAACGACCCCAGCAGTTTCAGCCCTTTTTACGCCTAGAAAGACTTACAGGTAATCTTTTCTCTCTCTCTCTCTCTCTCTCTCTCTCTCTCTCTCTCTCTCTCTCTCTCTCTCTCTGTCTCTCTGTCTCTCTCTCTCTCTCTCTCTCTTTTTATCAATGTGGTCCAAGACAGGATGGTGTTTGGTGTTTCCCTGCCATCTTACAAATCACAAAGACGACAGATCAATTCTAGCTTGCAGAAAAAAAATACATCAAGGGGCAAAGATTTTATTAACTGCTCAGGTGAGAGTGTGACTGGCTACCTACTCCACAAATGTGCATCTGGCACCAAAGCTGGGACCATGATTTGAGGAAATTTTTTTTTATATGGATGTGATGTTTCAGAATCTCCTAGCTATCCCCAGGGACTCAGAACAGTATCATCCACTTGCTCAAGGGATTTTATATGTATGGTGCTATGGGAATGAGGATAGGAGGGATATCTAATTCTGCCTTTCCCAGTAGGAATCTGAGAATATACTGTAAAGACCTTGCTCTGTCATTTCTGTGCAGCCTCCTTCTAAAAAGGATTTAAGGTGTTTTATAATAAAGGACATTTGTGCAATAGAAGTTATGCAACCAGAATAGAAAATCTGGGCTAGGAGAAAAAAACTGCAATGCTAAACCCAAACTCTTAATACATTTGCTCTGATTTGGACCTGAGCTTCCTGGTAGCCAAAGCAATAAGATAAACATATAAATTACATAGTTTTTATTATAGATACACATACACAAATGTCTTCAGCAAATTTCTCCTGGCACTAAATACTGGAATAAATGTATTATGTGATATCTAATATAGCAGGACACTGAGCAATTGACCATGTTGAGACCCAGTGAACTGGGCTGTATTCCCAGTATCTGGCAGAGGGCCTAGAACATGGAGATAGTCACTAGTGGGTGTTAAATAAATGTCTAGACTTAATCAAGAAGTAGCAGAGGATGGGATGGGGCAGAGTCTGGAGCCACATTACCTAAACTTACTCCCCAGCTGTGCTACTGACTAGTAAGTCACTCAAATGCTCAGCACATCTGTTTGCACACTGGTTAAATGAAAATATAAATTATACTGAACTCAAAAGGTTGTGGTGAAAATTAAGTAACAAAATAACCATCCAATAAATGTATAAACTCATGCACTTTTCAAAATGCCTTCATTGTCAGCTGTTTGGTCACAAGGTCATCTCACATGGTCCCAAGGTCACTAAGAAAGATGCAGTGACATCTAGCCACCTGGCTGCCTTCACCAGCACTAGCCCAACAGATGGCAATATTGGCCAAACAGCCCCCAGAAGATCCAGGAAAGGTGGGCGTTGTTGCATCTTTTTGGCTCTTCAGCTTTCCACCTCCCTTGGCCTGAGTAGGTCGCTGAGAAGTGCGGTCATAGGGTTGGACAGATGACAGGATCTCCTGCTTTGGAACCCGTGTGTGTGCAGACCTATACTCACACTGCCCACCAATGAAGCAGGTACATCGGAGTCAGACAGGAGTTAACTTCAAAAGTCTCCCTAGACCTTGAGGCTCACCTCTAGAAACCCACGGAGGCCAGGAAGGTGGGAAAGGATTTGTCTGCCAAATGAGACCTGGACTGGGATCCCCAGACTTCACTTACATAAGGCAAATTGCTTTTACTTCCCAAGCCTCAGCTCCTTCATCAATAAAATGGGAATAATAATGAAATAACACTCTAGAGATTTTGTAATAAGTGATGTCACTTTCCCCCTTTATACCCTACTCCCCTCTGCTCTCAGAGAACACACATTTCACCAAAAACACGATATCAGATTTTGTTCAATGAAGACAGGAGAAAAATAATTTCACTCCAATGATAAAAGGCCTCTGAAGAAGAAATCCATTTTTGTTTGTTTTTTCTTCAGTTCCCTTATGGGGTTTTTTTGGCTGATGGATTGATTGATGGTGGCAAGCAAATACTGAGGCTAAGAACCACCCTCTATTTACCCCTGTTCTACCTCCCCCAACCATCTCCTGACCCAACCCCCTGGCTGCTTTTGCAACTGAGGGCTCCCCAGAAGCTGTGTCTGCATTCTGACCCACTCCAGATTCACACTCCTTTTCCGGGCACGTCATTCCGGCTTAGTAGCTGATGGAATCATCCAGCAGTCAACACCTGTCTCCTGAGGTGCCAGGGATTGAGCCATTTCCTCTCACTGCATGGACAAAGACATCATTTCTGAGTGTATGAAGGTGGCCACGTGGGCACATGCAATGCTTGTGTGTTACGTGTACAAGTGCATGGATATGTGTGTATGGAATGGGGCAACTGGTATATGGTCCAGCAGAGATAATGTATTCAAGTTTTGGTACTTTTCAAATGTGCTCCTGTGATGAGGTATTTGAAGAGAACAGTGATAAACCAGATAGATGCCCTTATGATACACAACAGTTATCGGGTATGCCAGGAGCCTTTGACAAGCAGGAAGGGAAGAACATACCACACAGCATCACAACGCTGAAGCTGCATGCCTCGCAACGTGATGGCCTGCTAAAAACAGCCAAGATTATGACAATCCACGACACCACAATACCCAGCCACCCAAGAGTAGCATCCCTGGTCGCTCTGAAGCCACACACCTGCTTTATGTTTCTTCATGGCCCTGGGTGTTACCTGACCTTATACTGTAAGTGGTCACGTGCACTGTTGGCTCATTTTTTGACTCCAACATGTATTTATACCTTTTCCTCCTTGACTTTGGGTTTGGCCACCTGAACTTGATGTGGCCAATGGATTAAGGCAGAAGTGACAGAGTGCCAGCTATAAGCGCAGGCCCCCAGGGTCCTGGGGCATTTCAGCCTACTCTCACTACAGCCTTTACCAGTGCCTTCAAAAAACTAGCTCACTGGTCTAAGAAGAGAGAAAAGCACTTCCATGTTCCCAGATATGCCTGAACAAGCCCAGCAGAGCCACACCCAGACCACCTGACCCACAGGTATGTGAGTTAAAAATAAATAATTACTCTGAATTTGGGGGTAGTTTGTTATGCAGCAATAGCTAACCAACAGTTATAATTGTTTGTTCATTGTCTATATATCCCTCAGGAATATAAGTCTCATGTCTGTCTTCTCTGTTGCTGTGTCTTCAGCTTCTAGAACAGTGTTTGGCGTATAATAGTTGCTCAAATGATTTTTGTTCAGAAGATGAATTAAATGGCTTCTGTACTGACAAAATGTGTGATGTGAAACCCCCCTAAGTGTACTGCCCTACCAGAAATGATTCCTGGTGGGGAAAGTTCAGTCCTCCCACGTGAAAAGCAGCATAAGACCTTGACAGTGTCCTCTCCCACGTGGCTGTCTAATTCAGCCTATGACGAGGTAAGGTCTCCTAAGAACAGTCTAGATCAGGATTAGACATGGTAAGGAACATTCACAGAGGGAAGCGAGAGCATGTAGGCGCACAGAGCTCTTTAGGGAAGGACACTTGGGGGACATGTCCTTCAAAATTTCCTCAATGTATAAAAAAGCCCAGACATCTAAGAACAGTAAAATACTCCTTTGGCTTTGAGGTACTGAACTAATGTAGTGTCCTCTGTGAATATGTTTAATACAAGCATGACTTCCACACTAGCACAGAAAAAAAATTGGGAGTGACTTTTAGGCCTTATCAGTTCAATGACCTAACTATTTTTAGGACTTCAGTCCCTCTTTCGTAGCAAAATTAGGCATTCAGATACCAATTTCATTCTGTAAACTACAAGCTGTTAAAAACCCCCCTGTAGGTGTCTCCCTTAACCAGAATTAGTGACTGGGGTTATTTCTACACAATCATCTCAGCATCAACTTGGAACAGGAGTGGTTTTCAAAGTGTGGTCTCTAGACCAACAGCATCACCTGGAGACTTGTTAGAAATGAAAATTCTCAGATATTACCTCAGACCTACCAATTCTGAGACTCAGAGGTGGGGTCCAACAATCTATATTTTACACGGTTTTTGTAGGCATAATTTGAGAACTACACTCTAGAGAATTTCTCTACTACTCACTTTAAAACATTCACTCATCCCTTCATTCAAGAAACATTCATAATATGCCTATTACATATTAGCCACTGAGCTAGGCAACAGGAAAAGAAATGAAAAGGCATGGCTTTTGTACTCACAAAATATGACTCAGGGAGAAAGACATTGTTCTATTAGAGTGCGCTACAGGAGATGCTCAGAGAGCCAGAGTCGCCAGAGCTATGGGTGGGGGTGGGGGTGGGGGGATCAGGTTGTGTTTAATAAGAAACAACAGGTCCACTGTGGCTGGGTTCCATTGTATGTCAAAAATCACCATGGACCTCTAACAGAAGTGGTAACTTTTCTATCAGTTGATGAGAAGCTAAATAATAGCAAAAGGCAACTCAAATTAATACCTCCTTGTAACTGAATTGGAAGTTTATTCTTTACAATCCTATCTAGGTAAAGCTGCAAATGGCAATGCCTGTGTGTTGGGGCAGGGAGCATTAATTACACTTGACAGATAATGCATAGTGTGCATTTAGTAAGATCTCTTAGAATGATACCATGGCCTCCATGCCCCACACCGCTTGCCTGTCTGTGGTGCAAGTGGGGAGCCACTGAGCTACAGTAAAGGGGAAATGGGAAAGGGGAGACCCTTGGAAGCAGGGCTGGTGACCAGATGGATGGCAGAAGACAAGTTTGGGAAGTTTGTGG